CCCCAAAACCCCAAAACCCCTTAATTCAAATATTATGAAATAAAGTTTAATTTTTTTATAAAAATGTTTAAATACTTATTTTATTCATTAGGGATCAATTATGATTTTCTTCTTCAATAATTATACCACCTCCTTGATAAATAATTCTCGTTTGACCTTGATCCTATTAAGTTCTATAGGAGTCTTGACTAATTGTAGAGCCTAAACTTTGGAGCAATCTATTGTTGGTATTATGTTATCTCTCTTCTACTAGTTATTTTGCTTGGTTCGAAACTTCATCTTGCATAGGTATGGTATGTCCGAACCCGAAATCATTAATCGCTATTATTTAGCTCTAAATTCTGTTTTAAGTGAAATTCTAGCGATTTTGACTCTACTAATTAAGCATTGGAGTAATATCCCCACTATTAGATGCAGTGTTTTTCCTAGTAGTAGTCTATTTCATCGGAGCAGACATTCTTTACATATCATTTGATGTCAAAGTAGGCTGAGAGGATATCATTGTAAACTTTTTCTTAAGCTATTCATACTATTCAGTTTCTCTTTTCAAGTTAAATACTTATTCATTCAGCTTCCTTTATGAGTTGATAAGCTTCTTTTTGTCCTCTTTCATTTTTTGAAGGCGGGTATTAAGTTTCCTAAGCTCAGCTACTAATTTCTCAATCAATTAATTCGATGAATACTTTTTATCTATTTTGGTTGGTCCTTTATTTTTATCTGGCTAATCATCCTTATCAGATTCATTACTCATTCTTGAAATGTTTTCTCCAAAATCAAATTTATTCTATTCATCATCAAAATCAGAAAATGGCGACTTTAGATCTTGTTATAAATGCATCTAAGGTATGATTAATTTGCTAGATTTTCGCTCTGCAGTTCTTTTGGAGTTTTACATTTCTGTTCCAAAGTCAGCTTTAATTCCAAACTCCCCAAAAACTTCTCTGAATTTGTCATATCTAGGAGTTAGTTCTGTAAAAACTGTTGCTCCCCTCACAGCCAACTTATGATTTTCATTTTAGAAATTCTTAAGCTAACTCTCTATTGTTTCTAGCTTTATTTTTGTATTTTGTAGTATAATAAGAGTTGTTTCTAGATGCTTGCATTTTTCCTTAAGCAATGATTCCATATCATCTCTTCTTTTTTCAGCCTCTTGATATTTTCTATGGTATTCATTATTCTGATCAATTAGTTTCAATCTCTATTCATTAATCTACTTATAATCTTTTCTCAATCTCTAGTGTGATGCATATAAATCGTCTAGTTCTGCAAGTGTCTCGCTGTACTTAAACTAAATGATGTTCTTCTCTTTATGCAAGTCAGCATTCTAAAAATTAGATAAAAATGGTTTTATTCAAAGTATGTAAAAATAATCAGATGCATACCTCGTTTATTAATTAATTACATTTCTCCTATATTGTAAATCTTTGAAGTTATTCAGCATTGAATTTGCTCTATAACTCTTAGTCATCAGCCTTATTAAGATGCATATCTACTATTTCTGACAAATCTAAATTTGAATGCATTTATGATGAATGAAAGTATAATATTTACTTTATATTCTTAATTAATAGTCAGCTTCTTTCTTAGTACTAGTTTTCATTAGTTTATATAAGTGCTTCAATAACTTGGAATAGACCTATTGATAAGGAACAAAATTTTATATTAGATCATGAAGATTCTCATATTACTCAGAATACACTAGAAATTGTTAACTATCTATTAATTCTGCTTACTCTTAAATTCATATAAATTTTCCTGAATTAATCCTGGCACACTTTTTTGCTCAATCAGTAAATATTACTATATTCTTTCGAATAACACGTTTAATATTTCTTTGAATTGAAACTTAACATCATTGCTATAATTGACTAAGTTAAGAGATTACTTACTTAAGAAGGGTATCTATAATTCTAAAAATCAGTATGATATTGAAGCAAATATCATCATTTCTCTAGCTTGTTATTTAGTTCGCTAATCCCTTAAATTCTCCGATCAGCTATCTCAGATTAAGTTCAAGCTTATTACTTTAAGAAGTTACTTTCTAATGTTCAGCTGTAAATTATCTTGCTATTTACTGAGTTTTGGTTATCAAAGGTTCTCATGCAGTTAGTGGAATAGTTTACTTGTGCAAGGCTGGGTAAAAAGTATTCTACTCTGACTAATTGTACTGTTTTTCCTATTTTTGGTAATCCATCTTGATTTCCAAGAGTCTTCTCATCTTAAACTAAGATTCCTTATATATTTAATTATTTCTCTCTACCTTCAACTATTCTTCATTTTTAGCTTTGAATTTACTTATTGGAAATTGTTTACTTTAAGTATCAAAGAATGATTTAAAATTTCCCATAGATTGAAGTCTCTTCAGATCTTTTCTATCAATATCTTTGTTAAGGTCAATTCGATCGGTTTTATTCACTGAAGAAGCTCTTGTTCGATTCTTGAAAAATTATTATTTACTATGGTCTTAGCTTTGTCTAGCAGTCTGACACTTCAAGCTTTCAATGAATTTGTTTGTTTAAGTTTTTTTGAATTTATTTGGGAAGTCACTCACCTTTAGTTTGTCCATGCATAGCAATTAGCTCTATTTCATTATGTTATTGCTTTATCGAGAGGGACTTATTGATCAGTTTTATTTTTGTAAATCGATTTTCACAGTTTAAAGTACACTTTAATTAATGTTCAAGACACTTATTGTATTATTAGATTAACTTGGTTATCTATTATGATGCTTTTTCTCAATCTCTTAAACATCTTTTTTAGGTATTATAGCATTATTTATATTGAGCAAACTTATATTGTTTGACGCAATAGGATTAAGAAAGTTCCTAAATTACTCCTAATTAGCTGGCTTTGAAATAGGTGAAGTTGTAATTGATTTGACATTGGATCTGTTTGTAAAGTAATCAGTTTTGTTATCCATTTATGGAGTTTGCTAAGGAGTCATTTCTCTCATACTATCCATTGAAGATTTACGAGAAAATATAGTCTGAGCTTCAGGAATATGGTTATATATTGAATGCTCTCTTGAGGGCACATGAATATGAATTTCATTTTTAGGCCCTTCTTATTTTTTCATTTTAAATTTATTATATAATTTTCAAGAATTTTATTAGTTTGAAATGAGGGGTTTTGGGGTTTTGGGG